AAAAATTATTAATTAATAAAAAAAATTATAATATAATATAATATAATAATCAGTTTTTAATGTATCTTTATTTTTTCTTTTCATTTAATTGTATTACTCTTATATTACATAAAATATTTTTGTATTTATTTATTTGTATTTATTTTTAAAACCTTTGTCTAAAATGTAAATGTTAAAAAACATAAAAAATGAAAAATAAATAAATAAAAATGAAGGGAAAAAAATCCTCGGCGAAACAAAGCCATTCCTGTTTGGTTTAGACTGGTTTTATGAACTGCTCACATAGACAATGAGGTCAACAGAGATCAAAATGGAACCTAATTGCTTTCCTAATGCACGTTCCTGATCTTATGGTAAACAATTCATTGGTCGTTATTGCAGAAAAATATAGTTTAGCTTTGTAATTTTTCAAAATATAACTTATTTCTCTGAAAAATTTTTTTTTTTATTTTACTGAATATAATACCCCCTCCCCCCCATCATATAATGAAAAATAATACATAAAACAAATAATATAATATAATATAATATAATATGTTATAACATGGTTTTTTTTCATTGTATTATTTTTTATATTACAAAAATATGTATTTATTTATTTACCCTTTAAAAAAATAACAAAAGATAAATAAACATTTTAGAAAAAAATAATGATTTATTATGAGATAATTATGAATTTACCCCTCCCCAATTACAAATAATATTAGGTAAAATAAAAATAATAAATAAATTAAACAAATTATAATATAATATAATATAATATAATATAATATAATATAATATAATATAATATAATTATTTTTTCTTTTCATTTAATTGTATTACTCTTATATTACATAAAATATTTTTGTATTTATTTATTTGTATTTATTTTTAAAACCTTTGTCTAAAATGTAAATGTTAAAAAACATAAAAAATGAAAAATAAATAAATAAAAATGAAGGGAAAAAAATTAAATGTCATTTGTCATATAAATCCATAACTTTGGTGAAAAGCTTTCATCCTGGTTAACAGCAGCTGCATACAGAGCTCAGTGCATGCTGATGTATGTTTCTACACAACCGCACCCAGCACTTCCCTCTCCAGCTCTCCCTTGATGAAACAGCCAGCTGGGTGTTACATAACCGCTGCTTTCTGAGTTCACGTATGCACCTATTTTCCTGCTCCCGTGTGCAGTTTCTCTCCCTTTAATCATGTGCTGTAATGAACACAAATGCATGCAAATCAATGAGCTTCACGAAGAAAGATATTTACATAATTCAGTACTGTTAAACAACGCTCTATGTAACATGCATATAAAACAGTCAGTCTGACATTATAATTGCAGGTATGAGGGTTCATTTTAATATTCAGTAATTAATCACAGTAAAGACCCAGGTCATTTCAGACATCTGGAGAACCAAATTAAGATGCTTGACTGGGATTTGCTTCTCATGTGTGCCATGGTTTAATATACTGTGCTCACTTCAGATAAGTCCCAATTTGTATGTATGTGTGTGTGTGTGTAGAGGTCAAAGATCACCACCCATGGTGGTTTGGATGTAAGATCACATAAATGGTTAAAATAGCTTTGAAACTTTGAAAGATCTATATTGGGCGTCATGCATCAAAGGGTTAAATCTAATACCTTACAATGAAAGCAATGAAATGAACTACATACACGTGCATTTTCAAATCTACAATATCCTCCATTTTTTATCTTGTGGTAGCCACACATTCGATAACACGCTTTTAATACTATCACGCATACACACAGACAGATCGGGAGGGATAAATACAATCTGAGAGGTCCATTAAGCTGAAGAGGAGACGCGCGTCTCACCCACGTCTATTTCTGAGCTCGGAGGTGCACATATTACTGTCACAAATTCCAAGTTATTGATTGATTCCCATGCTTTGCAATTCAGCAGCGCACACATAAATCATGCTGCGTGAAGGGTTATCAAGATCTCCAATAGCTGACAAGACTCCATTTGTGTTAACTGAAACGACTTGTGTTTATACGCTTTCACCACTACAGTGTTAACTCTAGATACATTTTCAAAGTGTAGATGATGAGATTTAGTGCAGATAAGCATGTGTGGATCACCCACTGTATCGTGGATAACATCCTAGTGCTAATGGGAACCAGAGGTCTGTATTAGCGAGACCCATTAGAAACACACTGAGTCTTATTGATTTCCTTGACATGACGGGGGGTCACAAATGTCCTTGTATCCATTAACCAAATGATACCCTTTGGAAGGCCTAAATTATCTTTAAATGGTAGGTGGACGAGAGCGAGTATAGATAACATGATTTATTTTATCATCTCTGATTACAGCTATATCATTTTAATTTAAAGGAATGACCAGTAGTCTCTGAATCAGCTGCGTTTGGACAGCAAAATTAGCATTGTGTTTGAAAATGCATGGGCAGGGTTAAGAAATAAGTGAACAAATTGGCCAGAAAAGCTTTAATGAAATAAAATGTCATACTTTTTTTCAATTGCAACTTGTATTAGATATAAGATTAAACAAGTTATTTCTGTCCCACCAGTTAATAATGACTGTTTTCCAAATCCTCCGCCCTCTCCATCTCTCAGTGGCAAATTAGTTTGAATTGAGCTAATAAGAATTCTTACGAATTTGCCGAAATGTAAAATAGTTACCAATTGCCATGAGAGTGTGTTATATAGTCTTAAGATATGAAACTATGATATGAGAACTTTCATAATGTGTCCTCTTTCTGAGTTAAGCGTGATATTTCATGAAAAATATTCTGATAATATAATTGGACAGGCTTTATGTTGTAAATTGGCAATTGATTGGATGTTGAAAAGTGGGCATCATGTACCAGAATGGAGTTAGACTGACTGCAAGTTTGCTAAAACATTGGCTAGTTCATGCAGCCTCAGTGATGTCACCAGAAAAAGGAAAGTCGTTTCATGAAGACCACATTTTGATTAATAAATGATGAAGACAGGCAACATGAAGCAGTAAATAATTTACAGTAAAACCAGGAATGCACATATTGACTTACAGTAAACATCTGAAAAATGCCACACACTACTCAATCACCATAACACATGCCTAATATAAAACATGGCGGCTCAACCTCTTCAAATGGATTTGCATAGTTAAAACCACCAATGTACATAACATATCTTTGTCCGAATGCATAATTATTCAATTAAAAAGCAGCACAAAGGGAGTAAATCACAGAGGCTCAGGGTGAAAAGCCGTCATGTCGATCTATTAGGGAGAACCCTGCTGTGAGCGGAGATCTAGTAAAATATTAAAGTTCCTTTTTACTTACAATAGTGACACATGGTAAGGTTTGATTTGACCCATTGACCCATCGTTAAGCCCTGTCTCAAATATTACTTTTCTAACGTATGTCTATGGAGGAAATCTGTGCATTTGGATAGCTATACATGCATTTTTTTTCCCAATAAATGTTGTTGCTTTTAACTTTGAATATAGTGACATAAGGTAAAGTCTGAGTAAACAACAGTAACCTATGGGGCAGAGCTTAGCACAGATTAAATTCCATGGAATGAATTCAAACATGGTTTAAAATGAACTTAGACTCCTCATATTTTTAAAAATAGCCAAAATATTCATTAAAAAAGCTATGTTTTTTGCTTTTTAAAAATGACAGGCGTTCCAAAATGAGCAGATTCCATGTGGGCCTAGATGTATCCATTTATCCTTGTGGGAATTGTGTGCTATTGTGAAAAATCTGAGTATTTGCCAGCTCTGCTTTGGATTTTTAGACTCATATCTGACTGTGGAACATTTAACACTTTAGTGCAAAAATTGGTCCAAATTTGATGCAGTGTTTGAGCTTTGTTTCTGCTAACTCAAAGCAGTCTCCAAGATTTGTTTTCACCCTGCATTCCCTTGCCGCGAGGTGCCTCTAATAAGTCATATTTCTATAAAATGTTTTCTGCCTTTGATCACCAGGAATACACAGAGGAGCAGTGTAAAAGTCACAGAAGACAGCTAATGATCCAAAAAAATCTGGGATGGTGAGTTAGAAACGTTTTTTTTTTTTTCTAGGTTTATTTGACAGGATAAGTTGCCAGTTTGAATAAGATCACCTGCAGTTGTACGTAGCATACAGAAGAGTAGCATTTACTACACAACTAGCTTCATCATGAGCAATTAATGAACAGTTTTTGTATCTGAGAAAGACTATAATGGTTCTTCTGGTGCCCGTGAGACATTTAGAGGATATAAATAATGCATATGTTTTCGTCCATTGCAAGGAGATTGCAAGGAGAACTAGCACGCACACATTTTATAAATACACACCATAAACACACAACTTGCATTCAACCACACATTTCTGAACACACATGCTGGAGTGAACTGAAAGTGATTAACATCAATTTTATAGTTTAATCAGTTCACACTCTTGCATCATCTCATTTTCATAAACTTGATGCTTTTCATGTCAAAAAGAGTAGGTCAACAGATTTCTCTTCTATTCTGTGAGTATCTACCTAAATACTTAAGGGGGGGGGAGGGGGACTAAATTAGCAAAAGCAAGTTTCATAATGCTTGCAGCAAAACTTCCCACTGCGATTGATGAGCGTTCAACTTTCCGAAAGTGGTGATGATTGTGCACTTTATCTTATTAGATTATTGCATCACTTAGTCACTGCAGGAGAAATATTTTCACTGTATATTGATTATGTAACTGCTTCCAAAATCTACTAAGCAGCAACCAGACGCTCATTGATACATTCTATAAATGGAAGCATTATCTAAACGCCTCAATGTCTTCAGTTACAGTTTATTTTAAAGAAAAACTCCTTTTAGACGAGTTTTCTGTGCACTGAAAGCCTTTGTGAGCTTCAAACCTGGTTCTTCCCTTTAATATTTCATAAAGTTTTAGTTTGCAGAGAGCCTCACTGTGCATTGCAACCCTTTAGTATGGACTTTCAAGGCAAAACAAACCATTAAATACACTATATCACTATATTTATATACACAAGACATAAACTTTCTTACCGTCAAATTATGCTGACTATGCACCAAAATAGTCCCTCTATTTTTAAAAATGTAAAAATTTACAATCCCCCAAAAAGCTGAGTATCCGGTAATGACGGCCTGTATTCAAACATGAGAGAGAGGGATCATCCAGAGAGCCAGCAGAGATGCTGAACAGGAAGATTAGGATGCGAGCGCTCCCACTCGCACTCTCCGTCCCTCCTCCCGATCCATTCATTATAGGAGGAGCCCCCTGAACACGCCCAAGCAACTCACAATGGTAGCGTCCATCCCTACTTCTGTT